TATGTTCTTCCATTTGTGATAATGAATAAGCAGAAGGATGAGGATTTCGGGCAAGAAACTCTTTTAACAGGGCTGCGGCATCCAGAGATTCGCAGGTGAGGGCAGGGACCAGAAGGGCATTGGCTCGGCGGCCACCAAAACCCCTCGGCAGGCACCGAAATGCAAGACAGGGCTTTGGTGTTACCACACTTCACTGCTTACCCTGTCTTCGAGTGTATTTGGGAAGCCTGCCCTGTTTATTGCTGCTGCTGTTGAGCAGTTACTTGTCTCATCCACGCCAATCACTGATGATCATTATTACTGTTAATAACAATAATAATAAAGATGAATCTTAAATACATGAGCAAGCACTGACAGACTCGGCTGACTCATTAGACACAAAAGGACTCTGACACTTGCTAAATGTCTCATTTCCCAACCCAAAAAGGAGGAGGCAGCTTTTGGGGGGGTCTGGGTGCTCCAGGGGTGCAGCCCCCTGTATGGGACGAGAGCAGAACGTGGTGCAAACCCTCCCTGTCGGCGCCGAGACAGCGACTCCCGGGCTTCGGCAGTGACTTCCCTGGGCTTTCATTCTCCGCAAGCGCCGAGATGAAAGAAACCCCAAAATTCAAAGCAGAATTCACTCAAACTGCTTTGCTGTTGCTTTTTCTTTTCCCCCCATACAGACGAATGCATAAATCAGCTCAGAGCACTCCAGGCACATCTCAGGTTTGCGGGAAACGTGACCTAATTTTGCTGGAGAACTGCGAGCGGTTACAGCACGGGAGCCGAATTTTGGGGATCAGATGGGATGGGATCAGGGTGCTCCCTGCGCCATGGGGCTGTCCCCAAGTCCCCACGAGCACTTCGATGGGTGCTGCAGTTCACCTCGGCTCCGGGGACTCATTCAAATCTCCCTTCTCAAGACAAGAGGAGCAGCACAACCTTTAACTGGGAGCCCTGGTGGAGTCTGAACTGGGAAGTGTGGAAACGCCACCAGTGTTGGCCGCAACCACACCACATTAGGGTACGTCCACACTTAATGTGAAAAACACCACGATAAAAGGATTTAAAAGTCATTTCCAGTCATACGGAGATGGTTTCTCCAACTACCAAAGGCTGCATACATTATTGTTCTTTAAATTTTAAATAAGCAGAGTAATTAGGTCTTTATCACGCTACTGAGAGAAGCAGCAAAAATCCTCCTCGGAGACTGGTGTATCAACTCCTTACACTGCAGAATGCCTTCAGATATCTGATAAGGGTTTTGTCAGCTGTAAAAAATGGGAGCAAATCTCCTTAAACTGAGAAAAGATGAGTATAAGGTCAGAATTTGGCGTTTCCAGGAGCGTGGACCACGTGGGGTCTGATCTCCCTGGGAACGGGAGAGGGAATTGTCCACCCTGGGCATCCCCAAGCCATGGTGCAAAGTTAGGAGCTGCCATCGGGGATACTCAGAGCTCTCATAGGGGATACTCAGAGCTCTCACAGGGGATACTCAGAGCTGCCATCAGGGATACTCAGAGCTCCTGTCAGGGATACTCAGAGCTGCCATCAGGGATACTCAGAGCTCTCATAGGGGATACTCAGAGCTGCCACCATGGATACTCAGAGCCCTCATCAGGGATACTCAGAGCTCCCATCATGGCTACTCAGAGCTCCACCCGTTGTAGCTCCCGATCAGGCTGGGAAACGGGCGCAGGACACGCAGTCGAGGGCTGCACTGCAGAGGAAATCTCTCCCGCGCAGACGGGATCCTGCCCCAGATTTCCATCGCTTCCCTTTGGCAGATGCAAATTTCTTCACGTAGGCACGGCTGCCAAGAGTTAACGAGGGGTTTTTTGGCACAGAAACCCTTGTACGACGACTCCGCACACCGGGACCAAGGCTGAGGACGGTTTCTCTGTGTCAGTGGCAATCGCAACGACCCCGATGGTGTTTGCTCCCCTCCCGAAGGCGGTAGCTCCGACACCTCCCTTTACACTCCATGACTCAACCCAGGGTGGATCGTCTCCTCTTGCTTTTATTTCACTTCTCGTTACCAAACATCTGGCCGAATCGTTGGGCTTGATTTCCTGTCTGCTGCAGGTCAAAGATTATGTCACCCAGAGTATATTTATCCTGGTAATTAAACTCAGATGGTTCCTCTTTGCTTTCCTCCGCCCCCTCCTTTAAAGAAGAACTAGAAAACCTCACTGCTGAAAAGAAAACCACCCCCAAAAAAAGGGGAGAAACAGAAAACCCGACCACATGCAAGCCCCTGCAGCGTGTAATGCTTTCCTCCTGCAGCCACGGCCATGGGGACGGGATTTGGGGTGTGGAGGGAGCCGCTCCACAGCCCCTTTGCTGCTGGAGTCAGGATCCAGGACACTGCACCCACAGGGGAAAACCAAAACCAGCGAAAAGCGAGGCTGAATCTGGGCTGAATTCAGCTAAACCCAAACACACAGTAAGGTTTAAGGTTGTTTTTCTTGCCCATTGCATCCGGGTCTCATCACTTTGAACAACCGAGACCTAGGAAACGCAAGGCACAAAGGTGTTTTCTGGTGCAGGAGATCCGCAGATGGATAATTAAACCACCTAGGCAACAAATTGGGATACTCAGAGTAAATCCAAGCCCTTTCCACCATGGTAAGCGAGCACAGACCTCAATAAACTCCTGGATCTCCACCAGCTTCAACGGGAGGACTTCCCTGCGTAAAACAAGTGGCGTAGGCAGACTTCTAATGCACGGCGTTGGGAACAACTACAAGTTACGGCTGGTTTCTCCTAGCATTTCTGTCTAAAGCAACATCACACCCTCGTTTGTCTGAGCAACGCGAGCAGAGGACAGCCCAGGATGGACCTCAGCGTCCCACGGCAGCACACCCAGCTCCATGTGGGCCGGGACTCCTGCTTTTCATTGGGGTTTGGTGCTTTTTGGATGGCGTTTTTGGGATTTTGGTGCTGCTGGTGGTTTGGAGGAGGTGGTGGTTGCCTTGGGGAAATCCTTCTGACAGCAAAAAGGGACTCTGGAAATGCAAGGCCTTGGAGAAGCTCTGGGTTTCTGTGATCTCCTCTGCTGGACGTGGAGATCCTGAATTTGCACCCCTCTGCAGGGGTCAAATGAGTCCAAATTGAGCCTGGTTATTGAACGCATTCGAAGCCCGTGTATGGATTAAGATGCACTTGCCTGGATCACGCTCTCGCTATCGATTCCTCACGTTTTAAAGAAAGAAAAGAAGTTTCTCAGCTCAATCCACAGAAACATTCAAGTATTTGACTGGGAAGAAAGGGAATTTCTAATGGGCTGGGATGCTGCAAAGCCTGCATTAATATTTATCTGACAGCATAGTACGACTCTCATGTGAAAGTAATGCTCTTCTCCCCCCCCCAAAAAAAAAGCAGCAGTAAAATCCCCAAAGGTTCATCCCCGTTTTTAATCCTTCTGCCCTCATTTTGGTGTTTGCTTCCCAAATCCCTGCGCCTTCTCTTAAAAAAGAAAGCCCTCAGTTGCCAAGGAAACCCCACGAGCAGGGAATTGGCAGGGTTCAGCCCTACTGAAAGAGCCAGGGCAGGCGGTTAAAGTCACGACTGGACATGGGCGGCCAAAGCCTCCGTGCCCACGTCCCATGAGCTCCCATCACAAACTGGGAATGATGGAGCCGCATCATTTACCAGCGTGCGAGGGTATAAACCCTGCCGGTGCCTCCCTGGGTTGCTCTGTGCTTATCTCCTATTCAATCTGTGGTAATTAAATGTGGATACCAACCATGCAGGGCAGCAAAAAATGAGAAAGAACGGTGTAAAAGCCGGCAGGAAACACTGCCTCCCCTAATTTTCTTGCTGTTTTAATGAAGAGGAACCCAGGCCAAATCTGTTCTCGTTTTTCATCGTGTTATGGCATAGCAGGGCTGAGTCCAGCTCCTGAATTTTGAATCACCCTGTTAAGTTTGTCAGCTTTCTCCTTTTCCATCCGCTTCTTCCTCTCTCTCTGTTTAATGAGCTTGTAGCAAAGTCAGAAGAGGAGCTTCCATAGCGAAGACCCCATGGCCTGGGTCTCCTCATGTCCCAGACACGTTGTCTACCCAGCAAAGAGGGCAGGAAACGCCTGGTTTTGACCCAAAATGCCACCCTGCACACCCTGATGAGCACCTAGCTTGTTCTCAGGAAAAGACTCTGCTTCAGTTAACCAATATTTAACCAATATTTACTAATTAGACAAAACACTCTCCTTAAAAACTTCCCACCTACTTTTATCCTTTACATTTTTGACGACACACAGTCCCCAGCTATTGAAAAACCCCACTTTTAAAACACAAGATTCTTGTTTTTATGAAACGCAAAGCAAAGATGCTAATTCTATGTAAATGCTGGATGATTTCTGCCCAAGCTGTACGAAGCTGGCTCTGCAGGCAGGAGGGGGCTGGAAACCACTGTACCAGGTTACATCTCTGTGCCAGTTCTGGATGTAGAAGCCTCTATTTGTAATAAAAAAAGATGAAATAACACGGCTAAGGGCTCCACGTCTTAGGCATGAAACTAACACCACTACGTGCAATACGACACAGAAAACTCGTACCTTACTTCAAAGCAAAACCCATTTTCCCTCAGCAAACCCCACTCTACGGAAGCAGACTACCCTTTGAAGTTATAATGTGATAACCACACGTTTTGGGAGACTGGAAACTCGCCGCCGCTTCCCCAAGACGCAGGATTACCAAATTATACGGCATGGGGGGGCGGCGGCAGCTCCCATGCCCTGCCCGTGCCGCGGGGCACCTCGCACTTGGGACTTACGAGATTTTCCGGCTCGAGGCCTCATCAGCAGAGCGCCAAGTGAAGCCGCTCCAGAGGCAGTTGGCCGAAAAGCAGCTCTGGCGGCGTTTGAACGGAAGGTGCTCGGGCAGAGAAACCCATCTGATGGGGCGTGAGAGGAGGGAGAGGGCAGAGGAGGGGAGGGTGCGAGAGAGAGGAGCGGAGAAGAGCGTTTGAAAGAGGGAGGGGAGCGAAGGATGCAAGGATGGAGACATCGAAATGGGAAATGAAACAGGTAAGGGATAAAGGGGGTGTGAAAACGGAAAAAGGATGGAAGGAAATGAAGAGAAAACACGTGAGAGACATGTAATGTATAGCCGAGTTACCATTTCCAGTGTGGCTAATCACAAGGCAGCGCAGTCAGGCATCCTGCAAGCACAGGGCTCTACCGCTCCCGTCACAGTCATTAAGATCAAAGGGAAGAAAAACCACTAACAACACCTCCACAACATTAAAACATCAGCTGCTCAAGCGATTCTGCTGCACTCAGTGCCTGGATTTCCTCCCTGAACGGTGTGGCTGTGCCTGACATCCGTGAACTCCACGGCTGGACTCGATGATCTTAGAGGTCTTTTCAAATCTTAATGATCTGATGAGTCTGCATCTTTTCCAGGAACTGCATCTGCTACCCCTCGGGCTGTGGGTGGAAGCGCTCACTCCACATCAACTGCAAACCCAACAGTACCATGGACTGGCAAACCAAAACTGAGCCTCAGCTGGAGCATGCAGGAAAAAGCTGCAAGCCCTCGCTGGCTCCATCATTTTTGGACTCCGTCGTGCTCACAGCACTACGTAACAGTGCTTAGTGGGGTTTGTAACACTGAGGTGACTGAGTTGATGGCCGTTCAGCCTTGGGAAGGGATCCTGCCTTTTCCACAAACTCAAAAAAACCCCAGTATTAGGAAAGAGGAGACTTCACCGTAAAGCCTGGGGTGGTGCCAGAATCAACAGCAGGTTTGAAGGATGGAAGAGGCCTTTTCGTAACAAAAAAACCGTGTTTGTAGCAGCAAGGAAAGGAATGTGCTGCTAGAAGAGACCTTTTTGGATGAGACACCAGATGGGAGCCCCAGACTGGCTGGGTCCATGGAAACCTTGAGACACGTTTTGGAGAGGAGGAACCGCTTCCTCCCTGCGAGGCACACTGCACCTGATGGAAACACATCCTGACACCGAGAGGCAGAATTACTCCTGCCATTTCCTCAATGGCTGTCCTGCTGCCCGTGGCATTGCTTAGCACTTCTTTCCACCTCAAAACCGTCAGCACAAGGACACACTTCCTACTTATTTCAAGTCCTTACCGTAGCGTCGAGTGTCGGCCCGAGCGGGAAATGCTGTTGCCAACCGGGGAGGGCAAATTGCTGCCCCTGTGCAGGTCCTCGATGGATCGGCTCCAAGGTTTGGACTTGTCCATCGAGGTCTCCACGTTGTTCTCCAGGCTCTCAAAGTCAAACCTGAAAGGAAGCAGAAATTCCAACAGAATTAGGCAGAAAAGATGCACGTTGTGTTTTCCCAACGTTTGCAGGTTTGAGTGGGTCCCAAAAGCTGACAAAGAAGAGGAAAGCAACGCAGGGAAACTGCCCCTTGGATGCAATTTGGCCCCAGCTCCAACTGCAGCAAATCGGGACCTGGAGAAAGGGAGACGCAAACCCCACGGGCACACAATTCCAGAAGAACCCAACATCTACGTATTATCCTACTTCAAATAAACACAATACTGGCCGCTTTGCTGATGAAGAGCAAAGAAGGAAAGAGGGAGAAAGCTGAAAGCAGTCTCCATTTCATTTCAGTCAATCAATCAATCAGTTATGCAAGTACTGACTCAGTTTCCTGCACCAAGACGTGCCCGAGCGTTTACGCTGCCCCCTTGGCCCTCACCGTATGTAATAAATTACCACCATCACTGCGGATTTTCCTTGATTGCTGACTCACTGCCCACTGCGCTGCTATTTCAAGCAGAAATGGCTTGTTCCCCTCGCAGCTTTTGAGGTTATTACTCATGTTTACCACGCCGGAGAGGGGAAAAACCCAGCAGGCTAACTTTGCCTCCATTTGTATAATTTTAGGAGGAAAGCCATACGCAAACACTTCCTTCTGCTGCGCGCAGTCTTTTCCAGCGTCAGCACCGTTTTAAAACGTATCATTTTCCTTCATTAATTTTACTGCAACCCCACCAAAAAAAATCTCTTTTCTGTGCGATGATACAAGTACGTCTGATGGCATCTTTTCTGCAAGGAAAACGCCAACTCTGCTCGGCTCGAGTTCCTGACTCCAATGGCATTAACTTACCGCTTCTTTTCATGCAATCTTATACCAAAATCTGCTGCTGCAATACCCCATAAAGTGAAATCCTGTGGCTATACAAAACCAGCTCCTCAGCTGAACACCTATCTCAAATTGTGTGACATAACAATTAACGAAAGCTGATTTTTTTCCCCAATTTGCTTTTTTTTCCCCTGCAACACGTTATGAACCCATAGTTTTGGACTGGCGTTACCATTTATTGTGGTTTGGGCAGCTGTGCTGTCACCCCACAGCTCCTCCCCAGCCAGGGAGGAGAATTGGGAAAAGGAAAGGAGACCCGTGGGGTGAAATAGGAACAGATTTAATAAAATAATAATAATAACAGTCAGTATTAATAACTGTATTAATATAAATTACAGGGAGTTATACGCTGCCGATGCAGTGGTCGCAAGCTGAGAGGGTCACAAGTTGGGGAGTGGCCTTGGGAGCAGAATGATGGGTGAGACCCTCTGCGGGTGGCAGCCACCAAGGAAAGAGGGCCCCCAATAAACTCCCCAATTCACAGTGAGTGTGACATTCATGATGTGGATAATCCTGTTGGCCACTGGGGTCAGCTGCCCTGGGTTTGGCTCCCCTCAGTTTATGTACCTGGGTAACCCAAAACTGCTGCAGACCTTGATCACTGCACACCAGAGCTGGCCAAAAACTGACCCACAGTGTCTGATCCCTTTCATCCCTTCGAGTGCTGCAGCCTGTGCAGAAATGCAGCTTTCCTGAACAGAAAAGTGATTTTATGGGCCTGTTCCAGTAAAGCAGGACACCGTCTGCTCTGCTTTAGGGTGCATCCACAGCACCGTACTGAGACACCAGCAGGAAAGCTCTGCTGCGGGGAGAGCTGAGCATCGGGCTCTTACTTACGTGACTGCGTACTGTGCAAAGGACAAGTACTCCACCAGAACGTCCAGGCCTTTGTTTTCTTCATTCAGGAACTCCCTGACCCATCTGTTAGAAAAATCAGGAGATATCAGAGCGTTTCCCAGGCTTTGGGCAGTCACCACAGCTCTGGTCGGATAAAGCAGAGGCAGCAAAGGCAGCGCTGCTGAGCAAAACTTTGCTTCTCACTCAGCAAAGGAGAACTTTTTAAAAATGCCATTCATTATTTAGAGGATTTTAAACCAGAGTCCTTCAGAGGACTTTACAAAGTACTGAAACAAGCTTTTTTGCAGCACTATGATGAGAAAAACATTCCACAAGAAAACCCCAAATACAAAAACCCCTCTGCACCCTCTAGATGTTTGCTCTTCCAAGTACTGAGTTAACCTATTGCTGTGAATTTTGGTCCCCAAGAACTATGCAAAAGAATCTTTAACTCCAAAAAGGCAGTTTTATCCAAAGCTTTCAAAAACGCCAAGTGAAGTTTGAAAATCCATGCATTTGGGAACAAACCCAGGTGAGTCACTGAGGAGTGGGAATCCATCACCTCGGAGTTATTCCAGTCTTTGGGCTTTAAATCTTTTTGCTATTTACCTGCTAAAATAACAGCCAGGCCTTTTTAGAAAATGTATTTGGAAACACATCACATGAATGAACATTGGTCTTGTCAGGCTCTTTTATTTACTGCTGGACCATCACGGGTCTTTCTATGCATCCAAAAGCTGTCATAAATCTGCAGTGTCAAGCTTTGGATGCCCCAAATCCCTGGTGAGGAATCCTTTGTGTTGGAAAAGAAGGGAAAACACAGCAGGAGCCAGGGCAGGGGTGTGGGAGAGGTTTGGTTCAAGTATTTGCGATGGTGCTGTGCACATCACGCTGGGGAGATGGATCTCATAGAGAGACGGCAGCTTAAAACACCCCCGCAGTTTAAAACACCTTTGTTTCCTCACAGTAAGAGCAGCATCCTGTAAAATCAATGTAAGTGAGCTGGATACGTGGTGTGGTCATGAAATAAAACACTGAAGAAACCTCCCCAGCTGACATACGGGTGCTGATCTGGCTTCTGGTGCCAAGACCCAGAGCAGAGATGTGGGAAAGGTGGAAATGCAGACAGGAATGATAAAAATGGTAAAATTCTTTTACTTCTGCTATTTGAGAGTAATTTTGTGCTTCGCAGAAGTAAAGTACTGGGAATATCACTCACAGCCAGGCTTCATGAACTGCATCACGTTGAAGCTATAAACCAGCATGGGGGTTTATATATATATATATATATTTATAGCTGCAATGCTATTACTATTCTAGCTGCAATCAAGCTCACTGACTGCAATCTTTTCACAGCTGTGGATGAGCCCTCTCATGAAAGGATTAAAGCTGAATTATTCTCCTGAGATGCCCAGATATCCCTGAACTGAGCCCTTCAGGCTTTAATGATCCATCAAGTGGTATCATAGGTTGACATGCAAAGAGGTGTTTTCTCAAAGAGATCCATCGGTAGACGTAAAAAAACCCCAAATATTAGAGCAGAGGTCATTAAAAACCCTTACCCGATGTGGTTTGTTCTTAAGGAAATCTCCAGTTCTCGGAGTACTTGGGTAGACTCCTGCACTCGTCTTCTGAATTTCTGGAATTGAGGAGGCAAAAATAACAATTACCCTCATGTGATGCTACTAAAAACATCAGCATCTCACACAGTGCAGAGTGAATAAATAAAACAATGAGGCAAACTGAGAATCCCTCTGAATCCTGAGGAATGCAACAACACCTCCAACTGCCTCAAGGGAGGTTGTAGAGAGGTGGGTGCTGGTCTCTTCTCCCAGGTAATGGGGATAGAACAAGGGGAAACGGCACCAAGCTGTGCCAAGGGAGGTTCAGGTTAGAGATAAGGAGGAAGTTCTTTACTGAGAGGGTCGTCAGAAGCTGGCACAGGCTGCCCAGGGAGGTGGTGGAGTCACCATCCCTGGATGTGTTTAAAGAGCGGGTAGACGAGGTACTTAGGGATATGGTTTAGGGGGCACACAGGAGCAGTTGGACGTGATGATCTCAGAGGGCTTTTCCAACCGAGCCATTCTGTGATTCTGTGAACACTTTACAGTCAATGAAGATGAACTCAGAAAAATAACGTCTGCTCCCTCTACTTTTTTGAGTTTCCAGGATGAAGAAAACCAAAAGCCTGTAGAGTTGCTTCTTTTCTGTCCATTTGTGAATGAAAATCACCTTGGAAATTCAGCACTCGACATCCAACCTGGTCGTGGGTTATCACACATGGGTTATTTGGGACGCAGGCGATGCTGCTGCAGGCAGGGCTATGCTCTGAATAGCAGGGAAAAAAGGGTTTGCTCCCAGTGCACCGCAATGAACCCACACTGACATCAAGGGGACTCCTCGGCGGTTAATAACTCTCATTTATTGAGGTGCAGCTGGTGAAAGGACAGGATTGAGTTTGCCTTGCTGACCTATGTGCAAATTACCAGCTGCCTGTTCACCAGGGGTTTAACACACACCAGTTTGCACCAGTGGCTTACTGGTGCGAATCCCAAATCCCAGCTCAGAACGGCACTGCCAGACCAAAATTGATGGCTCACGGTCACGTCCTGGTAGACACAAGGCGGTATTAATTTTCACTTGGAAAGAGGTGGGTTTAGATCAGACACAGGGCTGCTCCGGACCTCGGTTAATCAGCCCCAAGGACAAACACATCTTTAATCCCAGGAGGGTTTACATGCTGTAAATGCAAGAGATCTAAAGCTTCAGCTCTCTAGGAGCAAAGCAAAGGTAAAGTGAAGTAAAGGTAAAGTAAATAAAGGTAAAGTAAAGCTGCAGGAAGGGGTGGGAGCACAGGGCAGCCCCCGGCACAGAGCAATGCACCAGCTCTGTGCTTTTTCACTGGGCTCCAGGAGCCACCAAACCACAATTTCTTTTAAGAAGTGTGATTTCAACACTTTCATTTTCCTGTTGCGATCCTCAGCTCAGACGAAAAGCAATCGGTGTCCTGGGAAGAGCCATCACGACCCCAATTCCAGCCCAAAAGGCACATTTCGCAGCAGAGGTGGCCACACCAGGGACCATCACTCACCAAAACCAGTGACACCACCTCAATCACAGCAATAATCACAACTGCAAACCCCGGCGAAGGGGAGCTGTCCCCGAAACGTCGCGCCCCATCCACAAATCCCATGCGTCAATCTTTCCACCCCGCAGCCCCCGCAGAGGAAAGGCTCCTGGAGACGCGGAATAACCCAACAAAAGAGGAACTCAACGCAGTTATTTTTAGGCTGCTTCGGTTTTGTCATTTGTCATGGGACTCTCCTAGCGGTACTCGGATAAGAAAGGCTTCAATGTGTGCCCACCGAGCACAGCCAAGCACTAAATGAATTTCAAAAACCCTTCAGGAGAAACAACACAAAGACCCCTGTTCACTGTATTTTTTAAAAAAACCCCAACAACTATAATCAGCTACAGGCAAAATTTCAAGCTTTCCTGCTAAACGGTTTCCTCTCCTTGTCAGAGCCCCCAACAAGAGCAGCACTGTCAGAAGACGTTCCCGCAGCCTCGCTGTCCCAAAACACCGCATACCCCCTGCGCGCCCCTCGCCTCCCCCGGGGATGGGGCTGAGCCTCCACGGCGGCCGTACCCAGGCTGTACTCGGTGTCAGGACGTGTGTTTTACCAAGGGCATCCACCATGGCTCGTTGCTCGGCCTCACAAAGCGGTGATTGTAGAGGGCAGGGCAGTGGCAGGGTTTGCTCTGCGCTCGCTGCCTCTTTTTGCTGGTTTTTTAAAGGCTCTGACTCTGCACACAGGACGCGAGCTGATATCCACAGTGGTTAAATACCAAAGGTTTGGTCCTAAATGGGACGTAGGTTTAGTGTGATTCTAAAATCCTGCAGGCGAAGCCTGTCAGAGCGCTGCAGAAATGTCAGAAACAGCCACAGAAGACACCCCCCGGTACAGGCGCCACATCCAGGGATGCAGGCGTTGATGTGAAAGGCCAAGCAAAGCGCCTGAGTCTTTCACGAGTGATTAATTAATGATTTTGGACAAAATACCACGCAGAAGGATGGAAGAGGCTCTGCCAAGCAAATACACCCCGGGTTATGTCTTTGCTTCCCAACCCTGAAACCTCAGACGGGACCACAAGCGAGAGGAGAACCGGGCTGAGCCTGTCACGTAAATACCAAGAAAAGGAGTTAAAACTTCAACATCCCTTCACGTGGGGAATTTGTCTGACTATTTAATGAAGCTGAAGTTATCTGAACAAGCTGCTTCATGTGTCAGATGCTGCTTCTCTTTGCAACACCTCCTTGCTCAGCTGCACAAACCGCAGCGCCTTTCCCGTTCCTCTTTGCTCCTCTCTGTGGTTTGCTACAACCCTGAGATGCCTCTCAGAGACGTTTTTGGGTCCTTGCACACAAAGGCAGGAAGGAACCAGGACCCCGGGTCCATCCTCGCGGAGGAACGAGGGACAGGCGAGAGGAAACAGGAGCATCCTCACCTTCCTGGTGACGGCCGGGTCCAGATAGCCCTTCAGCTTCTGGATGTACGTGTGCGGGGGATTCTTCACTTGAAACCTTTCCTGCGAGGGACAGAAGAGTAAAGAGCAGTGTTTTATAACTTCTGCTGCATTTACCACGTACACACATGTATATTCAGTATAAACAGTATATATATAAACAGTGTATATTTAATAAACAATATAGATATAAAATACAGTTTTAAACATACATACCTTATCTTCATAAGTATATCACCTATGCATATACAACGTACATGCAAATAAATATATATGTACATCGATATTTTGACATTTTATGTTCATATATAGGATATATTGACTTATACACCTTACGTATTCAATGATAATTCTGAATTTTAGTTACACATACCAACACACACACCTGAAATAACCGGGTTTCAGGAGCACTGAGAGGAAAGAGAAGCGTTAAAAGAGCAGACCCATGTCCATGTTGGACTGAAAGCCACCACTGCAAAAGCCAACACACCTTTTCAATCACTTAAGAAGCCTAAAAACACACTGCAAGGTGTAGTTATAGGATCTGTCTCATCAATCATCTGGATTCCAGAGAAGTGAATGCAGGAGTAGGTCATTAGCAATAAACAAAGAGTATTTTAGCTCCATGATATTAAATGTGTTCATGGTGCCCTGGGGTCAGCTCCCCACGGGACCACACCAGCGGCTGTGAACCACGGCTGGGTGTGCGCAGAGTCTGCCACGTCCACGCCTGCTCACAGCATCACCCAAAGCTCAGATCCTGTTTGTATCTTGGAGGAATCTGGAGCTATTCTGCCCTTCCCCTTGAGGAAAGCTCTTGTAATGATTTCCTCCTGAAACGCTGCACTTTATAACCGATATTTGAATTCCTGGTATTAGGTCAGGAGGCAATTTTGGCCACATTATCTCCAAGTTATTTCCTAACGAACAGGACGCTGCCGCCCGGTTACCAGGACGCACCGTCTCAACACCAGAAGTTGCTCCTGTTATTATCTTGCCATTTGCTGTAAAATAAGTCATTCATCACGGTGAGCAGGAAAAAATGGATTAAAAAACCTGCCCTGCGCTCCACCAGCCCCAGAAAAGAGCCAGACAGGGGGCACTGACTTCCTTCTTTACTGGATTTTGCTTCCGTGCACCTTCGTATGTGCAGGCCAAACACGGTCCTGGGATTGGGCATTTCCTTGTTAGCTAAAAAAGAGCTTAGGTTAAATTTGCTGCTAACTGGAATTAGGGATGGAGTCAGAGATGGGTTTGGAGATGATGTGCCAAGCTCCACCAACAGGAGCAGAAATGACGTGCTGCATCCCGAGAGGAGCGCAATGGCCAGCACCCAACTCACCCAAAAACGGGAGCGGGAGCACCCAGGGATGGTGACAGGGACTTGAAAGGAAAGCAATTTTCATCCATCCACCCATTTTAAACCTTCCTCACCCCGGCAGACAGACACAAACAAGTCACTTTGCTTGGAGCAGAGGAGCCTGAGGGGTGCCCTCATTCCTGGGGATCCATCTGGAAAGGGCAGTGTCAGGAGGAAGGAGCCAGGCTCTGCTCTGGGATGGCCAATGCCAGGACAAGGGACAATGGTCCCAAGCTGGAGCACAGGAGGTTCAAGCTGAAGATGAGGCCAAACTTTGTGAGTGTGAGGGTTATGGAGCATGGCCCAGGCTGCCCAGAGAGGTTGTGGAGTCTCCTTGTGTGCAGACACCCAAAGCCCTGGCCGTGTTCCTGTGTGACTGCTCTGGTGCTCCTGCTCTGGCAGGGGTTGCACTGGGGGAGCTTTCCAGGGCCCTTCCAGCTCCTCACGTTCTGGGATTCTGTGGTTCAAGAGCCTCAAGGAGCACATTTGGTCGTCTGCAAGCAAACACTACGTGGTTTTAGTTTGTTTGCTGAAAACCCAGCAGTAATTATGTATTTATGTACTAATCTCTACAGCAACTTCATTTCAAAAGATGCTGTTCATGAGTCCAGAGTGGAATTACTTGGGCGAAGCATTTTAACGATGTTATCCATGAACAGAGGTACCAGCAATGCTCTGGTGATCAAGAACCGCTTGTGGGGAACATCTACTGATGCTGGGAATACTTTCATAGTCCCTTAAAGTATTTTAATTATTTTTGCTTTGGAAAGCCATGAGGGATTAACCTTCAAAATGCCCTTTCCTGGCTGCGGTCAGTGCCTCGTTTTATGCAGCTTTAATTATTTTATATGTAAGAGGCCGATACGTTGGCAATGGCAGCCCAAGGCTCCCCACTCCCTCTGGGTGTGCGTTACCACACCTATAAACCATTTGCCTGTGATATTGTAAATAAGGAGTTAAAAATCACTGCTTTTTCCTGTCTGCTTGTCCTCTCCGCTTCTGGCAATTCGCAACCGCTCACCGGCCAAATCCGCTTTCAAAATAAGAATTTACACAGAATTTTTAACGCTATTTGAACTAAGAGTTCGGGGATTTCTACCACACACATGCAAGGTTTAAAACCCCTTCTTGAGGCTCCGAATTTCACCCAGCAAACGACGACTGGGACGCGGTGGCTTCCCCTCCCCATCGCCCCACCACCAGCCCATTCAGACACAACCAAGTTAATAAATCCTGATTTAAGCTATTTTATCTCCGCTACGTGACTCATTCAAGCACCGCCGCTATCTCGCAGCCCTGAACGAGAACGGCGCGGACCAGCAAGAACTCGGCCCTGCCTTTGTCAGCCACCTCGAAAGCAAATTTAACTTCACTTCCCAAGGATAAAAGGCCTTTTCTTCCTCGGGAAATTGCTGCGGCTGTGAGGAGCCAGCGGCATCAGAGCAGAGATGTCCTGGTCCCCTTTTGGGCTATAAATGACGAGGAATCAGGGGAAAAGCTCAAATAGGGAGTACAGCACCACTCCCGTGCTGCTTTTATGAGCAGTCTCCAGAATCAGTACTTTATTTTCTGATGGATAACAAAAAAAAAGGGGCTGAGGGGGTTTTCGTTCAGTGGCAAAGAGGAACCATTGGATTTCTGCATTTCCTCTTCCATGCGATCCTGCAAAGGACACAACACATCTCTTGTTCACCCCAATCTGGAAAACGAATTAACTCAGGAATCAGGAAATTGTGGCTTTTCCAGAGATTTTTTTTTTTGCTTTCAGAAACATTCAGGCCATTTTCTGCATCATTATTATTATTATTATTATTATTATTATTACCCTCACTAACTCGGTTCATTCCTAGGATTCACGTAGGTCAGGCAAGCAGGCAGGACAGTACATCACTTTATATGTGTGATATATGTGTGATTATTGAATGATGTCAACAAAACCCAAATCCCTGCTGCCAAGGGGTTAATGGCACCATATGGTAACCCCCAGTCACCCCCCGTCCCATCATCACCCATCCCATCATCACCCAGTGGGTGCTGGTCTCTCAAGGAAGAAGTGATGGGACAAGAGGAAACGGCCTCAAGTTGTGTCAGGGGAGGGTGAGGTTGGATTTTGGGAGAAATTTCTTTATGAAAAGGTTATCAAGGACTGGCAGGGGCTGCCCAGGGTAGTGGTGGAGTCCCCAGCCCTGGAGGGGTTTAAAGGATGGGGAGATGAGGGGCTGAGGGACAGGAGTCAGTGGTGAACAGGGCATGGTTTGTCACCCAGGGCTGTGTTTCCAACGGGGAAACAGGCATCTGCCTTCATTTGGAGTTTAATTAGGAAAGAGAGAGAGTTTACAGATACCTCAGTGAGGATATTTTAGATGTAAACCACACAGCTCGCATCTGAGGTCTCTTAATGTGTTATTTCCCCCACACACACCCCCAGTGCTCCAAAGGGGAGGATGTGGTGATGCCCCTGCCACAATTTGCCATTAGAGGGCAACGAAGAACTTTGGAAGATGTCCCCAACCTCCACATCCCTGTCCCCTCTGTAACAGCCCAGGGCACGCAGCTGGGTAAAGAGGCCCAGGGCACACCAAAAGGGTGGCCCACCATGCCAGGAAACAGGACCCTCTTCCTTCCCTGGATCCTTCCCAGCGCCACCCCAAAAACGACCACCATTGGGTCCTCTCCAAGATGGGCAACAGGGTCACTGGTTCACTGCTTCTCCTCCTTGTACGCTGCGCCTGAGAGGCTGGGAGAGCTGTCAGGACACCAGCAGCAATGGCTTGCAAGGCTTTTGGAGAGAGGAACAGACAATAACACATGGGATGAGTGCCCCACAACCCATACTAATACTAATACTAATACTAATATCATCGTTGTTGATATTGTCGGTGTTATTACTACCACTGTTACTACCATTACTATTACCAATGCTACTACCAGACTGGTAGCTCCTCGCTCTCATTAATCTCACTTCTGCAAAAGTGAGAATTCCTCTTAGGGGCCCAAGTCTCCCTTGATATTCTCAACACATTTCACAGACAAATGGCCACAGTTTGCTTTACAGAGTATTTAGAAAACAGCATTTAAGAGCGACCTCGGGACTCTTTTTCCTTTCAGACCTAAGCTGGAAACCAGCACAGGAAGGTAAGACTTAATTTCCTCAAGCTGTTACATTAATTTGTACCCTCAGCCCTTCACCGTGCAGAAAGGGGGTGAAAAATGCTGTAATGGGCGATATACCAATAGAAAACAGCAGTGAAAATCAGCATCCACACACATTCTGTACCTAATCTATTCCTGGAAGCACTTTTAGCCACGCACCATCATTACGTGGACAGATATAAATATTTCACACCCCATATGCTGCATCCTGGTGCTTTCACAGACCTCGTGCTGCTCCAATTTACAGCAAGAACCCACTGGGGACACAGCCAGGGGACGGATCCACAGCCCCTCACAAGGGTGGCACACGTCCCCTCCTGTCCCTTTGGGATCCTCGCCGCATTGGGCTCGTTCTGCAAGCGACGGGAAGCGGACTCAGCCCAACCCGGTGTTGTGCAAGGATGAAGATAGGGGACGACTCCCACATTGCAGATTCCCATCCCTCCTATCTCTCCGCAGAGCCAGGCAGTGAATCAGCAGCAGCTGCACGTCGCCAAGGGCGGATCCGCTGCGAGGTGGGAGCCC